GCGTTAAAAGATAATTCAAGAGTCGCGGTTTGTTTTTACAAACCTCGTCTTCTCCGTTTTGCTCCTTGGCGACACAAAGACGATTCTGACGACAAACTCGACGGCGGTGAACGACAATGAACGAGTAAGAGTCCATCTTCTTTGCTGTTGTTAGTTTTGCCGATTTGGGGAGATAACGAAACTGAATGGTTCAGTTTGTTCGACAGGTTTTGGGTTCTCGGCGAGCGAAACTTCCGGCGACTGAAACTTCCGCCGAGTTTAGGGTTCCGTGTTATTGCTTTGTACTACAGGTTTATGGATTTTGGTTTTCATTCGAGTTATTGTAGTGTTCTAAAAATCTTGAAACCCTAATCTTTAATATATTTTGCAGATTTGTATTCGTGATTTTCTTCAGATTCGGACGGTGAAATCGACCGTTCTGGTGAGAGAAATTGATAGTATGTTTGGAGATTGAAATTGGTGGTAGATTTGTTATCGATTTTGATGGTAGATTTGTTAAAATATAATGACAGATTTGATGATTTAAGAAAGGTTTTTAAACTGAAGTTTCATTGTTTTTTTATAGTATGTTTGGAGATTGAAATTAGTGGTAGATTTGTTATGGAATTTGATGGTAGATTTGTTAAAGTATAATGACAGAATTGATGAGTTAAGAACGGTTTTTAAACTTAATATTCGTTGTTTATTTTGATGGTAGATTTAATTGTATAATTGAAATGAATGTCCATATTTGTGTTGTTGATGATTGTTGATTGAAATGTCATATGGTATGGTATGATAGATTTATTTTTTGTTTTGATGGTAGATTTATTTCGCTTGATGGTATATTTATTGCGCTTGATGGTAGGTTTATTTGATTTGATGGTAGATTGTTTGAAACTTATTTATCTTATCGTTTGTACAGAAATGGCGTCGCCTTCTATTGTGCCAGTTGAGTATCCGAGGAGAAGGTATCCGGTTGGAAAAGCACCATTGCTCAAAAGAAGCTTGCATCATAATTGCAAGTTGGGTGACTTTGAGAAGATGTTTGAAGCTGTTGGGGAAGACGTTTACAATGATATAATGAACAACCATGGAGTTGGAGTCATTCTGAAGCTGACTTCATGGAAAATGATATGGGCCAGAATGATTATTAAGGATATCCTTTCGAATGAATTGGTGACCGACATGATTAACGAGATTTGGTCCTTGATTGGTGGTCGTCCTGTTAGGTTTTCTCTTCATGGTTTGGCGAGATTACTCAGTTGAAGTGTGACCCAGTCGATGCCAAAGAAGAATGGGATATTGAGCACACGGATTTTTGGAATGAAATGAAGATCAACCTCGGAGACGGACCTTCTTGGAACGAGTTGCTTGAAGTCTTAGACTTTTGCAGGACGTGGAGTTATGACAAGAAAAAAATGGTAGGATTGCTATCTGTCTTGAACGTCGGAATATATTGGTTTGCTCGTTCTAGTAGAATCACTCTGATGGCTGCCAAAAGAGTGTTGGATCTAGAGGCGTTTGAGAGGTATCCATGGGGCTGTGTGTCCTTTAGGGAGCTTGTCAAGTCGATAAATATTGCATGTTTGGAGGGTGGGTCGTTGACACTTCATGGCTGTGTGCATGCGATGCTTGTATGGGCATATGAGTCGGTAACAATCCTTGGTGAGAAATTTAGGAAAAGAAGAGAAGCACCAATTCCTCTTCTACATTGGGCTTCAAGTCGCGCGAGATACAACCTTGAGACCGTTTTGTTGGAGGAGAAGAAAAGTCACGGGAAGGTATGTTTAACATGATAGCTTGTTTGAATGTTTAATAGTTGTGGTAGACTTGTTCAGAATGCAAAATTGTGTTGTCGTAGACTTGGTTAAAAATAATTAATTGTCTGTTGCGGGTTGTTTGAATTTTTAATAGTTGTGGTAGACTTGTTCAGAATGCAAAACTGTGTTGTAGTAGACTTGGTTGAAATATTTTTTTAATTGTCTGCTGTATTCAGAATTCAAAAGTTATGTTGTGGTAGAGTTGTTTGGAGATATTAGTTGTGTAATGGTACACTTGTTTGCAAGAGTAATAGTTATGTAATGGTACACTTGATAGAAAGATTCATAGTTATGTCATGGTAGACTTGATTAATTCTGTCATGGTATACTTGTAAACTCGTTGACATGTTTAATATTGTTGTTTGTAGGTTCGTGTTAGACACTTATTGATCAAGCCTTTGGTGGAGATATATCCTTCATGGGAAGGAAAGAATGAAGATAAGGTAGTTGATAACATGATACGTGATATTATTGGTGGATGCTTGGATGAATCTGTTTGGGATGTTCAAAGACCGGTTGGT